TATATGCCTTTTTCCAAAGTGTGGGAAACACACATTCTCTGAGGGAAAGCTTAAAGAGCAACGTAATTGGATAACTAAGACTCTCGGCGCAGGCTGACAGAAAAACTGGAGGTACTCCATCGTAACCCGCTCCCTTATAGGTGTCTAAGTTTTTCAGATATGTTAGTATAAAATCCTGAGAAACGTCAATTTTAGAGATATCATCACTCCATGACGAAGAGACAGTATTACAAAAGTGTGAACTAGAATCAGTCAAAGGAGAAACAGCAAATACACTTTGAAAGAAGGCATTAAAGGCAGAGCAAATATCCTGTCCCTCCGTGTAAATTACGTTATTTAGGGTAAAATTACGAGGATAATTAGATCTTCCCTTTTTAGACTTAACAAATTTCCAGAAATACTTAGGCGAATTCTTTAAATTTTTCTCAGTATTACGAATAAAGTCATCAAAACATTTTTTTTTTTTTGTTCTATGTAGTCTATCCCTGAGAAGTTTAAACTCCTCATAATCACGAGGGTTGTTAAATTTTTTCCATTTTTTGTGTGCCTTAAATTTTTCACGAATTATTTTAATAAGTGCGCGGCTGTACCAACACGGGTAACGATTACTAATTTGGGAAGATAGTGGTACAAATAAAGTAAAACATTCGTGGAGTTTTTCATAAAAAATCTCAACGGCTTGGTCGACTGTATTTGTGTTTAATAATAATTGATCCCAGTCTACTCTTTTTAAAAAGTTATTTATGTTAACATAATTACATTTACGGAAATTGTGTTTTGAGTGAAAATGTTCTTTAAAAGGTTTTACAAAAATGTCTTGTATATCAATGGTAAAAGGTGGGTGTAAGGTGTCGACTTTAGACAAGGGGTCAGAATGGTTGATTTCCAAGCATAAGTTTGAGAAACATAGATCCAGTATATTGTTACAACGGTTGGGGAGCAAAATATATTGATTCATGCCAAAAAAACATAAATCCTCGGCCAAAACACTGGCAGCTTTTTGAATATCAGCTCGGCCAGAATGTATTGTCGACCATCCTGAGGAGCTCCATTTTAAACAAGGTACGTTAAAATCGCCAACTATAAGATAATGGTCAGAAGGTGCCAGTAGGTAAAAGCGTTCAAAGTTATTTCGGAATTCATAAATACAATCGGTTAATATGTTATCATTTGGTGGTATATAAACTAAAATAATATTCAAGTTACAATTTGAATTGTGAAAACGTGCCGATAGACTCACACATAATGATTCAAATCCTTTACAATCCCAATCATTACGACGCGTAGCGCATAGTTCTCTTCGAGTACAGATCATTACCCCTCCACCCGTCCTTTTTTCCGTTGTTGCTAAGTCACGGTCACAGCGAAAAATATCGAACCTACCATCACAAACTTCGCTATCAAGAATATCACTCTGCAGCCAAGTTTCAGACAAAAGTATTAAATTATAATCACACGATAAAATATTATAACACAAATCTAAGCATTTCGTACGGAGGCCAGGAACGTTTTGGTAAAAAATATTTAACTTAGTAATATTCATAGTTAAGGAATAAATTTGAACTTATAAAGTTTTTTCATTAACTTCCCATATACTCGGGCCCCCAATGTCAAATAATAATTAACAAGAGTAATTAATTGGTATTTTATTTGTCTTAAAAAACCTAAACTTAATTTGATTTTATAAGTATTAAGGACGTATGAAAAATAATTAACGGTTAAGTAAAAATAAGTAAAAATGTTTATATTCTCAAAGTTAATTGTAGGAGTATGTTCCAAGTTTAATACTGGTATGAAATAGTAACGATTTATAGAATAATATTTAAAAGTTAGTGGGAAATAGGTAGAATAGAATATTATTATAGAATATATAAATAACAACAATAAAAAAATATAATATGCGATTTTAGATAAAAACAAAAGGAATAAGATGATAATAAAAATTTTATAACAATAATAACAATATTCCTTACAGTAGGATGTGGTACATAACATTATAAGTAATAACAAGCATTGATAAATCATATAACAACTACGAAGACACATTAGATGAGCAAGTTTTATGAAGAATAAACTATAAAATAGTCAAATTACTTTTTGAAGATCTACAGAGTTTTTTATACACAAGGACGGACTAATATCATTCTTCCTAACAAAAATCTTGCCATCACGTATCCATACAAATTTGTATTGAGCGACTTTTGCTTTTTCCCTTGTACTTTTATATAATAACTTGTTGGCTGGTGTGAGATGTTCATTTAAGTAAATCTTCTTCATTTCACCAGGAAAACCTATATCACTCAACCTCAGTCCTTTCTTGGTACGAACAGCAGACAGAATGTTTATTATTTTTTCATTTATTACTTTTTTTTTACTTTTTGCTAACTCATACTTGTCCTGCCGACACTGATTTTGTGAAGAGCGCTGATTTCTATGATACAGGCCCTGCCTAGTTTAGAAGTCAGAGGTTCTAATATAATTTAAGACGTAATATTTAGACAATATGTTAATATATATTTTTATGTAAACTCATTGTTATGCAGCAATAAAAATTTATTATTATTATTATTATTATTATTATAATGGTGTCCCGTAATAATTGAGAACTCAGCTTTACGACAATAGCTTTTGGACGTCCAGAAACCGCATTAAATGGGCGAGTTCTAGTAATATGGATAACGTCAGTAGAAGACAGCTCAACTCCCAGAAAATTAGTAATATTTCTTAAATAAAGGGACAGGTCTTCATTTGACTTTTCAGGGATGCCAGATATCTCAAGATTATTCCGTCTGGCCTGTTGTTCCATGTACTGAATTTTTAATTCAAGATTTTGTATCTGAGTGGATAATTCAGTGTTTTGAGAACTACAAACTTCTAGTGCTTGTAACCGGCTATCAAATAAGTCCTGTCTCTGAGAGGAACAGCTAAAAGACCTCTCCATTTCTGTGAGACGTATATTTGTTTCAGATAGCGATTTCTTCATTATGTCGTTATCGTCTGTCAATTGTTTTAAACAACTATTAATCTGAAATAAGTTTGAGGTAATATTTGATAGCTGATTGGTAAATGCCGAGTTAATAGCTTCTGAAATACTGTCAAAAATTTTATCATTCCATAATTTCGTCTGTTGCTCGAACCTACGCTCGAAACACGCGAACACATCTTCTCCAATTTCGCATTCCGGTTGCTTACGTTTGCGTATATTTACCAAAGATTCTTTGTCTACCGACACCGATATGTCAGGATTCGATGAGAATATGTTAGGCGGCGTGCGCTGGAGTGCCATTGTATATAACAAACAACGCAGACACGACCAATATTAGTTTCTCAGATTGCAGAAGACAAAGACGAAAAATAGCAACTGTTGTTATCTCGCGGGGGTGAGGTACCCCTCAGATACGACCAGGAGCAGCGGCGCGAGAGAAGGTAAGAAACACTGATTTGTGGAGTATTAATAATTAGATGCCACTTAATTGCTCGCAAAAAACAACTGTGTTACACTACTAATTAAACTGATATTAATAAAAAGATTATGTGTAATAGCGCGGGGCAAAAAGTTGTACACAACCACTCTCTTTACTAGCCGAACGATGAAAAGCAGTAACTAATTTTTTCATATAACTAAACACTGAATAGACCACTTGTCGGGATTGTCTATTTAACACCGAATTCTTCCTTCTGCTTCTCCTGCATATTTAGACCAAAATCTGAACACTCATTTATAAGAACAAAAATAATTAAAAACAGGAAATAACAAAAACAATTAATAACAAGTAATACACAAATAAAATTAACAACGAGGTAACAAAAACAACGAAAATAAACTAATTAAAAAAGTTATCACTAACGTTCGAAACCAATAGACGACGAGAATCGACTGATGAACCAATCACGTTGAACGTCAGGGTGGTCAACGTCGTATAGACCAATAAAAAGTGTGCTCACGACTTATGTCGGCAATTATACATAGTTATTATTAAAATCGCGCACGCAAGCTAAATAAAACTTTATCGCTGCGCGTTAGTGTCCATATTACTTTGCATCTTTTCCGCTTCCTAAGTCACGGCGGACTTTCCGTGGTTATTAAGGGATGTCAATAGAAAGTAAAAGAATACATTGCGAAATGTTAATTATGTTACTCAGGTGAAGTACCTATTCTGACTATGATCGACTTCCATACTTTCGCACCTATGTGAGTTCTGCAATGCCTAACGCATGCAAATTGCAAGGTCATGCGTCGGGAATCGCAAGGCTTGGTTTGGAAGAAATACGTAGATAGTGTAAACAAAAAATAAACCTGAAAAACGATACCTAACAGAAATGTGATCTATTCTATATCTATTGTGTATGTGTATATATATATATATATATATATATATATATATATATATATATATATATATATATATAATACCGTATTTGTTATTAATTTATAATCTATGAAAGTTTGAGCAATTGCTAATAGTTAGGTTAAATGAAATAAAAATAACCCATAAACGTTCGTAAGCATAGACTACAGATTTCCATTTTCTGACATAACTCTGTCGCGTCCCCTACATCCATATATCTACGCATACATGCTCGTCGGTTAAGGGTACTCTTAATTTGGCCCATTTACAATATATCGCCAATTTGGTCTTTTTCCGACTCTTCCATTCACTTCTGCAACATAAAGCTTTGTCACTTTTTCCTTATTCATTATTTCTACATGAGCAAACAACGGAAGCATTTCTTTCTTAATCTTGGTCACAGCATCATCTTCCAAACCATAGTCTCCTTTTATCACACAATTTCTCACCGTGTCACTTAGATTCAGCCCTAACATACTCCTCACCGACCGCATTTCTACTGCATTTATTCTACTCTCGTGCTTCTTCTGCCACACCCAACTTTCACTATCATACGTTAAAGTAGGGACTAACACAGTATTGTGAATCGTGCCTTTTTTAACAAATTGTGACTTGAAATAAAAATAAATGTAAATATAAAGGTGTGGTGACCCTTGGCGGCTGCCTCGACGGTGAGGCAGGCTCGCTCGAGCATGGCGTCGCTCTGCTCCTTGCACTGCAGCACGGCGCGCTGGATCTCGTTGTAGTTGAGAGCGTGCGCGTGCGGCAGCACCGACAGCGCCAGCTCGGCCGCCGCACGCACGATGTGCACGTCCCGCCCCGACGACGCCTGCCAGTGTCACACACGCTGCTATAGTTCGTGCCAAATCGATTGATAAAAACGGACGATGACCTCAGATATGAGCCGAGTGTCAAAAGGCGTAACTTACAAAATCTGAGTTTAGATGTGATAACAATATTTAAATATTGATATTATTCACACTTCTGAGTCAGCACATATGTTGTGTTTTTTTTTGTTTCTTAAATAATATTGTCTGTGGTTCCTATAAACATCGTAAAATCTTACGGTACAATGAGAAAAATGTGTTATATTTTATATTTCAATTTATGGTAAGTAACGCAGCAATTCATTTAATAAGTTTCATATTTAAAAAAATTTTGAAGCAATATAATCACCATATTGAGCTTTTGCAAATTCATCCCTTTAAAATAAACAAAACGCGCGTTACGTCAGTTCGTTCTAAAAGAAACGTTACAATGGCAGCCAGAGATGCGTCACTTTTTTTGGGCCGGCCCGCATGACTGAATAAAAATAAAGTTCTTATATAATACTAGCTGTTAGTCGCGGCTTCACCCGCACGGTCACTGGGAAATGTCAACTATCCATTGCTTTTTGAATTGAAAGAAAACTGAGTTTTATAGATTTGTCAGAGATGCAGCTATTAAAAGGAAACTGAGCAAAATTGATTCGTCAGCCTAATTAAATGTTTTGAAACGCAGCGTATAAGGAAAGCATGAAAATAGCCTGTTTATTCCAAATGGAAATGGGATATTTTTTTTTTTGATTAAAGGAAACTGAGCATAATTATCCGTCAGGGATGCAGACTTTTGAAAGGAAACTGAGCTAAATTGATTCGTCAGAGATGCAGTTTTCTAAATTGAAAGGAAACTGAGCCAAATATAAGATCCGTCAGAGATGCAGCCTTTTGAGTTGAAAGGAAACTGAGCTTAATAGGTCCGTCAGAGGTGCAGCATTTGGAATTGAAAAGAAACTGAGCTAAATAGGAAAGTTTGAATTGAAAGGGAAGATCTGTGGAATTCTGATTAATTGATTGATTGAATTTAATATATAAAAACACTATTTTAAGACGCTACTGTACACAATGTTATATGTTTTTTTTTTTCATTCGGGGAAAGAATGTGGAGATTCTGGGCATTTGACACACGCGAACATGCTACATACAGCTGACCATGAGAGAAGCACGGTTTTTCTAAGTTGACCCCCGCTACCTGTAACGTTTGCCCTTGCGCTTTATTAATTGTCATTGCAAAACTGAGCTTAATAGGGAACTGCAACCTTTTGAATTGAAAAGGAAGATCTGTGGGAATTATAGGGATCCGTGGTATAATAACATTTTCACCTTTTCCTACGCCTGTCAAAATTGTAGCACCGATTATGTTCCGTCCAAGATGTGTCACACGCAGCCTTGTCCCGTTACATAACCGAGGAGCATCTAAATTTCGCATTAGCATGACTGGGACGCCTAATTTTAATTGAAGCTTATGTGAGGGCACACCTGACAACTCTAGAGAATTTAGAAACTCTACGGGATATGAAGTACTCTGTTCTATGTCCATAACTGTGTCTACTGACAAATACTCTGTTATTTCTCCTGCTACTTCGCTTAATATATCTGAATTTATTTTGTTAACGCTCTCATTTTTTGGTGCAAGAATCGCCCTTTCACATAACCATTTGCCTTCATGCAGGTTGTTCGTTAAATCTGAATAAACGCTCGCAATTAATTCGGAATGACTCTGTACTAAATTACAAAAATCTCTCGTCAATTTAACGTAGCCCTCAGCATCCGTTTCCAACCGCCCATCGCCAATTTTTAATAGTGTGTCAGCATAGTTTCCAGCATTGATATCATTATACAAATGCACTCTCATATTCGTAGTTAAACTGAATTTTGTCACCTTGTTCCATAAAATAGACGACTTGAGGCATGCTTTAATTTCATCTGCAGGTGTACCCTTTTGAATGACAGGTAAAGTTTGGCGAAAGTCACCAGCCAGTAAAACCACCATTCCTCCCATTACATCGGTATTGCTGCGCAAATCCTGGAGCGTTCGATTTAGTGCTTCTACAGCTTTTTTATGCGACATTGTACTTTCTTCCCACACTAAAAGTTTGCATTGTCGTAGCATTATACCTCGTGCACTATTTTTGCTAAAGTTGCAGCGCCGATCTGCATTCTTCCTGAGCTAGATTTAGAGGGAGTTTTCTCAGCGTGGCGGCTACACCGGAGGAAGCTACGGCCACAGCAATGTTTTTATCTTTCCGTACTTGCGCTAATAATAAATTTAACAAAAATGTCTTCCCAGTTCCTCCAGCGGCATCTAAAAAGAAAAGTGCACCATTTCCAGATTCAATTTGTCCTAATACTTTGTCAAAAACTCGTTTTTGTTCGGGAAGCAAGCGGGGTACAAATTCGGCTACTTGCAGCTGCAAAGCTGGTATATCGTAGTTTGTTTCACGTATAATTTCATCACTTAGTTCATTTTCAGTTGTTCGCTGAGTGCTTATCATTCCAAAGTCGCTTAATTTTTTGCATACCATTGCCAATACTTAATCTTCAATTTTTCCAAGTGCTTCATTATAAATGTGTTCATTGTATGTCATGTTCGCGTGTGTCTGCTGTAACCTTCGCAAAATATATTCCGCCATGTACTCTTTATATTTGTCCCACAATTCATGTGCATTAGATAGCCCGCAAGATAATATGAGAGTTGCATAAAGATCCCTAATTTTGGCTGGTGACTGGCACTGCAAAGCTTCCTCCATGGTTTCATCCCAGTGATTATCGTTTTCTAAAAGATGCAGAGCTTCACATGCTTCTCTATAAGTTGCGCATTCCTAACCGTTGACAGTTGTAAGGTCTTTATATCTTGTAGGACCCCGAACAAGGTGCAGCAGCAATCGTAAACAGAAACATTCAAAATTAGTTACATGAACGGTATACACACGACCAAGGGCATCTGATGACTTTACACCGGGCCAATTTGCAACAGGCGCGCCTTGAATACGGCGTTTCCACGCCTTCCTAGATGTGTTCCAAGTATAATAGCGGGAGACTTCAGAATATAACAACGTTTTTGCAAAAGGGTCGGTTGGACAAAGTTGAAAGAAGACTGTTAGTGTAGTTTTTGGCGGTGATGCAATTCTTTCTTGGAAATTTCTTTCGGTGAAATATACACGCTCTCCATTTTCTAAGTGCACAGCAAGGTGAGTAACTGTTGGGTGCCTTTCGTATAAAGGGAAGCCAAGGAGACGCCACGCTGCCTCGTAACTGCTGACATAACACCCTGCTTGAAAGGTCTGTATTTCATTAACGGGATTTGCCTCACCTTCACTCCTGAGATTAAATATTGCTTGGTCGCTTCCTTTATTTATGTACTTACAGATATACTTGATTGCGCGGACAGAGCTACATGCTTCTACATTAATGTGGGCATTAAACATTTTACATAGAATGGGCGAATACGGGACAATCCAGCTGTTATCTAAGGTTTCGAACGCTCCAGAGCGAGATTTGATTGTAACTTTCCTGCCACCATCTTCGGGAGCTCTGCGTCTGTATAAAGGGTAGCCATTGTCATTGTGCACTGTTTTTTTTTAATAGCTGTTTAGTACTTATTTCTTTGTACATTTTCCTTCTTTCATACATGGCGATATTGAATTTCGTGCTCCACATGGACCGTGAATCATATTTCGGACGATGGTATCATACAATTCTTTATCTTGCTCAGGACGATCTCGGCGCTTATTATGTCGTCTATTTGGCTGGGCCGCAACTTCTCTTTAAGCCATATTAGAATGTGGGCATGCGGTAATCCTCTTTTTTTGCCATTCAATTGAATACATGAAGCACTGCACCTCTCCGAAAATTTTCCCTTTGTTAATTACGTACATAAATTTTTGTACTTTTAATCTAAATACTCTAGCAACTAAATCGTGTCTGTCAGTACTTTTTTGGCCCGGCTAATGCCGGGCTCTTCGGTTATTTCTTTCCATGTGGGATTGCAAGTAAAAGTAACAAAAAGATCAGGTCTTCCGTAAGTTCGTACATAGGCGAATGCGTCTTGTGTGTACTCATGTAGGTAGCGGGGACTGTTAACGAATGATGAGGGCAGAATTACCATTTTACCTAAATCTCGGGGGTTTACATTGGCGTCGCTAGAAACTGCATCTTGTAAATGTATATAATTCTCAACGCGCAGCTTTTTTTGATTTAAAGATATATATTACGGAGACGTTCACTTTCTACCTTCACATACATGTCTACCAAAAATTGATGAAATAATTGTCTACACCGGGCTAAGAGGTTAAAATCATTTTCTCGCAACATCATATGATACGCATAAAAATTCATACATGATACTTTTTTGTTCGAAATAGGCTCCTTTGTGACCGGGTTAATGAGTGGAATTTGAAAATGATAACCCTCTTGTCCTTTGCAATAAATCAATCGGTATTGCAGAGCGTCATAAAACTTGTGTGTATCGGCTACCCGTTGCAACTTATCATCACGTGCTCGCAAGACAATGTCTCGTGAAAAAAATTGATCACCACTAATTACGGCTGCTATTTCGTTTATCAAAGGTGCATTGTAGCGCCTTTCATGCTCTCCTCGAGGGGTCCGATCTGCGTGAATGACGACTTTATAATCCTCTTCAGGTAGGTTTTCTAAAGCAGTTTTAAATGTTTTGACTAAAATGTTACGTTCATGCAAGAATCTTTGAATTTTGAACACTGTGTCTCTCTCAACTCCCTGGATAAATTGGCAGCGACGGTCTACCTCAATTTCTTCGTCACCCATAAAATATACTTGTAAAAATTTATGCTGTTCGTTTTCAGCTGGAAAAAGTGAACCTATTCTATGATAAATTTGCCCTTGCACCGTAAATGTAGGCGAAAATCCCGACATTATTATTTCTCGGTCAACTCCGAAGGACGTCATTTGAAAGCATGAGTTATATTTCCGGATCGTGTTTAAAAAGCGCCGTGACTCATTAGCATCATATAAAAAGAGAGTTTTCAAAGGT